ATTTTTTCGCCTGACCCCATCAGTGCCGACCCAACTACACCACCACGCGCATGCCTCGCGGCGGATATGCGCAGCAGCAAGAAGGTTTCGGTCATCCCTTGAGGGTGAGTCTAGCCCTGCTCGCCAGAAACACCCCCCCCTTCACTACAACCCATGTCTAAGCAAAAGCTTGTCGAGGAGCGAGGGGAAGAAGGGAGAGGTGTACAGAAATTGGTTATCATAAATAAAAATAATAAAAATCTTTCCGTGCCTGGTATCCTCCCACAAGAAGCAAAACAAGCTGTTCTTCCTTCTACCAAGATATTTCTGAGACTTTTCCTTTTTCTATAATCATTTTTCGATTTTTCGATGTGAGTGGATGAGTAAGCTGTGATGAACGGGGAGGTCGACCACACCTTGCACGTGTACCTCTTGGATGCCAGCAAGGCGCCCGCAGCCGAGATCCTCTTTCCGTGGGTGTGCACGTGATGCCCTCTCTTAGAGCTTCTGCTGAGACCATGGCGGGTGAGTCCGTGTGGTGTAGAGCGAGAGCACCGCTGTACTACGGCGTGGTCCCGGGCACGCACGATGGGGCCCAAGAGTATTTCAGCCCGTGGCGTTATTATGTAGACTTGCGTCTTTCTCTGCGAAAGAGACGGATTGTAGCATAGGTTGTGTTCGATGTATCGAGCCTACATGGCCTTTGGCCGCGAGCCATGCTCTCATGTTAGGGCAACGTCACGCATTGATGGCTTTCCTGCGTAGGCCTGAGGAGCAGCTCCTGAGTAGACTCCCGGTGTTGGTCGGGAAACCCTCCTGATTTCCACGGACAAACTCCAGGCTAAAAAAAACACGGCAGTTTCGTGTTCTTCATCATCCATGATTTCTAGGTGGTGCAGCTGTGCCAAGGGCGAAAAGGGGGGGCATTTTAGGCCGTCACGCATCAGATTGCCCTCTCCCTACACGATTCTTCCCCGCCCTTGTTCGCTGTATAGTTAAGGAGAAATAAATACACGCACAGAAAGATAGTTGCAGCAGTAGCCTCCGTAGTACCGTTACAATTATTTAGCTTTTTAGTGCGGCCTAACAGAATGATGCAGCCGCACCGCAGCTGTGCCAAACACACAGCCCCGGGAAATAGAGGCGGTACCGCAAAGGATAGGGTTAGCATACACTACACCGTCCTGTGATAGGATCATAGCGTTCTCTCTCTCGCTCGCTCGCTGGCTCTGATGATCGAAAAGACTTTTAACATGTTCTGAACAAATAGACTTTCCGCCGGAAAAGGCACAGAAATCCATCAGCGTATTCTAATGGGTGGGCTCCACCACCACTACCGTGAGTATCTGCAATAGGCGTACCTGCAATGGGCGTACCTCTATTCGGTGGCATCAGCCTTGTCTGGGGACTCCTGAGAAAGCAACTTGTTGTTAAGGTCGCGAGCTTGTTGTGATCTGATGTGATTCGTGTGAGAGGTGAGAGGCATCATCGCGGTAACATCTGATGATGGTTTGAGGTTTTTTCGCGCGGGGGGATTGCTTACTCCTCAGACACACCACCAGAGTCTGGTGTCTGGTGCATCGGCTACTGCTGCCGTAGATTGGTATGCTTTGTGCCCAGGACTAGCTACATACGAAATACGCGCAGCAGCACCAGTGTTCTGGCACCAAGTGGTAAGCTGCTGTAAAGGGTACAACACTGCTATGTGGAGGTCAGGATATGGAGATTCAGGGAGCACCGATACACGTACATAAAGGGTAGGATCTGAGGGAATATGTGATAATAGATTACTGCTGTTCTCCGAGGGTCCACAACTCTTGTGATACCCAACGGCTGCGAAGAGTTGATGGATCTTTAGGAGAATGGGAAAATGGGTCCACGAAGGCTCGCCCATTCTCCGCACCACCCTAACTTGACTGAGTTCGCTCGGTCACGCTTGGCATTCCTCGCCACATTATACCAAAGGCAATAGCCAACCTCCGGTGGCAGGACATAGCCACTACAACCCCGGACTCTCCGCTCACCCAGAGAAGAGGCCTCCATAATTGCTTATTATTAATTGAAGTTACGTCTGTGGGAACAGCATATCTACAGCAGCAGCAGTATAGCGTTTCCCCGCCGGAATCATCGGCATTGCTAAGCTACACCGTGTGAGCGGTGTTATCCGGACTCGTGACGAACGATGGTAAGCTACTGAGATGAGGCTTTGGCTGTGCAACTGACGTATAGTCCACTTCCCTGCACACTGCTGTTGCACAGGGGAAATATTTTTCGATGTACCACAGCAGCAGCAGTTTGCAATCAACATAAGACTAGATATGATATTGAATCTTTTGTAACATTTTTTGCCTAGCCGCCGGCGATCGACGCGTAAACCCATTTACATACATTTTTGACTCTACTAATCCCAACCCCACTAACGTTGGTTGGAGGTTGGTCTGGTGTGTACATTGGGAAGAATGCGAGGTTGCTGATTCACTTTGCAGGCACATCGATCGGATCCTATTCAAGTCTATACGAAGTCCTGTGCGACGCACATGTATACTGTATGTATCCGTACCGACAGCAATCGTGTCAATGGTATTTGGACCCTTTGCCCGAGATGCCACCTGGGCGGGTGCATCTTTCTCGCAGAGCAATGCTACGGTAGGGGGGACACTTTTTAAGACATGTGGGTCATATGCTGTCGCCCGACAAGGTCCATATAATAAATGCTCGTAACTCTCTCAATTTTTGCATTTCAAGGAAATCAATTCTGCCAAGGCAGCCGCCTGGCGTATATCTCGCGGTGTGCAAAACAATAAGCATTTTTTCCATCGGTTAAGGCAGTACACACCAGTCCGCCGAAACACTCCATGTGACCAAGGGGGTACCCCCTATCGTAGCATCCCTCCGCAGAAATGCACCAACCGCCCGACTATCTGCACGGCTGCTGCTGAAGGACTGCTCCTCCTCTTGTTTTGTTTTGTTTTTTGCCTTCCGACAATTGCAGATGTACCTCAGAAAACGTTCACTTAATGTCTCATACTCTACATGAATACTAAACCAATACGAAGTACAACAACATATGTAGGACGTATTTCTACTGTCACTTCCATCGCAAAAATATCTCCTCTTCAATTTCAGAAATAACCAGTGACAATCCTCATGGTATCCTACATGCGTTCGAAAGCTTGCTAAAATACTACTGCGTTGATGTCCTCTTGTAAAAGATGAAATTCAACAAATGCTTTGATCCATGCTACATCTCCGTATTGGACAAGCCCTTTCTTCTCCGTTCATGATAACATCTTACCCTATTCTACGCAAATCTGTCACATCTACCCTCAAACAAGACGCCAACTTCAAACGAAAACGCGTTCTACGATGCGTCTACACTCCATCCCCATATCATTGGCGTTGACTGGTTCGAGGTCGATCTTGTTCGCCTGTTTTCGGCGTCTTGACGCCCGCGCAATGCGAGCTTGTACCCCTGCACTCGCCGAGATATGGCCACCTGTGTAGCCACCGAAACGATCTGAAGAAGAAGTCGTTCCTTGAAGACTCCTTTCAGAGCCATCGTTCCTCCGTCCCTTCCTCCCACGGCATGTGTCGCAAGTTCATCGATGAACTCGTAACCCTCCTCTCCAAGGCGGCCAAAGCTTTCCACGGTTTTTGCGAGTTCATCATGCGCAGCGGCTCCGACTTTGTTGTGTAGACTTCGCTGGTAGAGACTGAAGGTCCAATCTCAGCCAGTTAGTGCTGTTACTACAGTAGACAACGAACAAACGGGGTTTTTTTGTTGCAACACTTGCTCCATGCTTGTTAGTTTTTTATCATACATAATACAACGCGCGTCTCTGGAGAGTGGGCTCATGAGAGCGTAGTAGTAGTAGTACAGCAGTAGTGTTATCACGGCGTGATGCAACATGAAAGTGAAGCAGTGTTGGCGTAAATATACTGCCAGCTTCCATCAGTGATTTTTTCCAAAACTCACCCAGCTGACGACCGTGTTTTCGACTTGAAAATAGCCCCACGCCTAAAAAAACAGAAAGTTTACATATATAAATGTAGTATATATAGACTACAGTCATCTTTACGAGCTCGATTCCCGTGGTAACAGGCTAACTTACCCAAAAAAAGGTACCAATATAGTCTAAAAAAATAAAATGGACCCGATGGGTCTGCAAGTCAATAGGAGTCAACGACAGATAGTCTAGAGCACTCCGCTCGCCTCTACACGCTATGCGAGGTAACCCTAGAAGAAAGACTGGAAAAGGAAAGGAAAAAGAACAACAGAGAGAAAAAGGAAAACAACAGTCTCGTTCGTGATGATTGCTGGGTGACGCAGCAGTGTTGCCTCGGTTGACTACGAAAAAACAATCAGCTACGATCGACCAAGATCGTTGGCAGACGAGCCCTTTGAGAACAACACATGTATAGCATACACAAAGGCAAACCCATTAGACCACTCAGTCAGCCCGCGAGCCCGTGTATAAACAACAGAGAACAGAAAACTTGTTTATCCGTGTTTGGAGGGGGGGGGGTGTACTCAATAGCTAGCTGTGGCAAACCCATCAAGACCACTCAGTCAGTCCGCGAGCCTTATACGAACAACAGAAAGTAGAAAAATTGTTTATGCTTGTTGGGATGGGGGGGGGTGTACTCAATAGCCGTGCGTCATAAGATCATTGACCTCCCTACCAAGGGTGGAGGGGCTCGTAGCTCATTCTAGGTGATGAGCGAAAATAACAAACACTCGATTGATCATGAATATTATATTTTATTTTGCCGGACCATGTACGCAGAATCAATTGAACGTTGTGCTCTCACGCTTGTAGCCCTGCAGGGCGCGGACAAAGCCGAGCTGCACGGCTAACAACTCAACAAGAGACCACCCGGCCCTCCGCGTTATTCCTCCTCAGAAATTCCCCTACCACACGGTGGTAACCAGGAGGAGGAGCTGGAAGAACGCACCACAAGCGCCGGCGACAATTGCCGATACGGTTGGTACATGATGGCGGGGGCGGTATTCCTCTCCCTGATCGCGGCTTTGGCACTTTCGGGCTCTCTGGGCGAAAATAAATCGATCGCTGCAACGACGTTGGAAGAGTTCCAACGAAAAAAGGCGTGGAGCGGGGGGGGCACAACCCTCGGGGGTTATCGTCACCGTAGGAGAAGAAGGCGGTCTCTGTCGGGCGAAGCTTCTAAGCAAGGTGTCTCCGCGTGAGTATGTCCCTCTTCGTGACAACAGGCATGTTGTTGTTGTTGTTGCCGTTGTTGTTGTCTTCACCGTAAAAACCGTTCCTCTCTCTCTACTCACAGTACTTTCTTCTGTCCGTACTACTAGTCAAACGCTTACGCGGTCGATTCCCGCGGTCACAGGCTAACTCACCCAAGAAAGGTATACTAAATACCATGGACCCAAAAGTGGGAACTTATTTTCCCATGGACGTGTTACTCTGCGATGCTGGTTGGGAGGGGTGTGTTTTGTCCCGGTGAACACACA